GAACCCGCCAAATGCCAGACAGGAGCAATCTCGGGCGATCTGCCTGAATGCGGCAAAACTGGTTTTGGGCGCCGATGCGGGTGCGGACGCCTGAACCTGGAACGAGCTCCTGCACCAAAGCATCAACAAGGCCACCATGCGTCTTTCTGCCCTCCGAACGCCCGGACGAAACAACGTCCGAAAAGCGTGGAACTCCAGCTCGTCAAACATGACCGCCTGCACCGCCGACGACACCAAAAGCGAACGCGCCAAAAAGAAATCTGTGGACGACAAAGACACGTCAAAAGCGGAGGCCCGCACGACACGAGCAGACCGGTCATTTCAGCCACGTCATCTGCACGAATACTGAGAGGAAGCGCAACATAATCCGTGCCCGCAGAACTCTGGCTCCGAGGTGAGGCAAAGCAGTCAGTCCACACTCGGGCCAAGCCCACGCGACGCATGGCCCACCATGTGCCCAGCACCGAGGACCTCGGAAGAAAGCTGCGCATCTACACCTTGTCCGGACAAGAGCTGTCCAACCTGCCGAGCCTACCAGAACATGCAACCACCAAGCATCTGAAGCAGCGGCTGGAGGACACACACGGAATGCCGCGATTCCGACAAAGGCTTTTCGAGGGAAATCGCGCCCTGCAAGAGCAAGACGAACTAACCCTTCCGGCAGATCTGCACCTGATGCTGCTCAACTACATTCCCGCCACACGAAAGAACGTGCTCGAGCTGATCCACGCCTGCTACCTGGGACACGAGAAACGGATAGTGGAAATTCTGATCCGGCCACAAGACGTCAACGTGCCCTTGCCGCCTCCACTCGGGAACATCGACCCAGACGATTACAGCGGCGACGAGAGCGAAGATCTGGATATACTCTACACGGCTCTGGAAGCAGCATCTCGCGAAGACCAGGCGTCGAGCATGCAACTGCTGCTAGAAGCCCGTGCCGACGTACGTGCACCCGGCAACAGGACGGCATTGTGGGGGGCAGCAGGAGAAGGCAGCACACGCGCAGCGCAACTGCTACTATCTGCAGGCGCAGAGCCGGACAGCAGAAACAACCGCAACGAAACGGCACTGCTGGAGGCGGCCTGGCAAAACCAAGACACCACCGCGTCTCTGCTGCTCCAGGCCCGGGCCAGCCTCGATGCCGGCGACAAGCACGACAGAACGCCCCTGGTGGCAGCGTGCACCGCGGACAGCCACAACGTTGCAATCCTACTACTTCGAGCTCGCGCTGATGTGCAACACCTCGTACAACATGACTACACACCTTCGATCGTGAAAACAATCGCGACATGTGCAGCGGCCGCTGCAAACCGCCAAGACGCCCTGACGACTCTGCTCGAAGCCAGTGCCGACATGGACGCCTCGCTATGGCACGCCGCACATGAAGGATACACAGAGGCCATCGAGACCCGCCTGCTCTACCAAGCCGACCCCAACACGTGCCAAAAAGCCGAAGAAGGAGAACGAAACGCCCTATGGGCAGCGGCAACCAGAGGACACACAGCAGCAGTCACACGCCTGCTGGCGGCCCGAGCCGACCACACCTCTCTGGACGAATCATCTCTGCTCCACCTCAGAAACACACCCGAAATCGTGCAGCTCCTGCTGCAAGCAAATGCCGACACAGAACACAAGCTGCTGCGCCAACTGCGCCGTCGCGACGCGACGCATTCCTTCACACCCGGACGGCCAAACAGCACCCTCCTGTTGGGCAACACGGGCCGACGACAAGTGATCATCAAAAAAACGACCTGGCCGCTAGGCCGTTGCGCAAAGCACGCACGAAGGGATGCACAATCCCGGCGTGTAAGGCGCCCTCGCGAGAAACAGCAATCGGGTCCAACGCCGGTGACCCGCCGGCCAGCACGAAAGCAGGCGCAGCAAAAGCAGATCACCCATCTGTCAGAAGTTTCACCGTGAGACACCTCATGAAGGACAGGCGACAAGCAAAAAAAGTGCAGAAAGCAACCTCGACTATTCGACGCAGCAAGCAACCCCTGAACCCGACAAGGTCCGCGGCCATCCTCCCTCGAGCCAGCGTGCCCGATTAGAAAGCGAACAAGCAAAAGCCGGGTAAGCAAATGCGACACCCGGAGGCAAGATCGTTATAACGTCCAAGGCAGATACCAAACGCAAGCAAGCCCAACCCAGCCGCAGTGCCACGACCACTCAAGACGAAGCAATCCCACGGTGCTAGCAACGACACAACAAACAGCCACCATTCAGAAAATCAAAGGAATCCACATCAGACCAACAGTCGAAACGTAGAAGCCATGGATAAAAACGTACCTGCCACAAAGGCCGCCCGCCGACCCAGGCCAGGCGGCTTCGCCCGGCGAACCCGGCGGAAAGCCTCCGCCAAGCAGAAGCTATACAGAGCGGAAGCGCAAGAACACTCGTGTCCGCAGAACTCTGGCTCCAAGATAAGACAAAGCGGTCAGTCCAGACTCCGGCCAGGCCGCACGCGACGCATGGCCCGCCACGTGCCCAGCCCCGAAAACCTCGGAAGAAGGCTGCGCATCTACACCTTGTCCGGACAAGAGCTGTCCAACCTGCCGAGCCTACCAGAGGATGCAACCACCAAGCATCTGAAGCAGCGGCTGGAAGACACACACGGGATGCCGCGATTCCGACAAAGGCTCTTCGAGGACAATCGTGCCCTGCAAGACCAAGACGAACTAACCCTTCCGGCAGATCTGCACCTAATGCTGCTCAACTACATTCCCGCCACACGAGAGAACGTGCTCCAGCTGATCCACGCCTGCTACCTGGGATACGATAGATGGATAGTGGAGATTCTGAGCCGACCACAAGACGTCAACGTGCCCTTGCCACCACCACTCGTGAACATCGACCCAGACGACTACAGCGGCGGTGACAGCGAGGATCTAGATATACTCTGCACGGCCCTGCAAGCAGCAGCTCGCGGAGACCAGGCGTCGAGCATGCAACTGCTGCTAGAAGCCCGTGCCGACGTACGTGCACCCGGCAACAGGACGGCATTGTGGTGGGCAGCAAGAGAAGGCAGCACACGCGCAACGCAACTGCTACTACGTGCAGGGGCAGAGCCGGACAGCAAAAACAACCGCAACGAAACGGCACTGCTGGAGGCGGCCTGGCAAAACCAGGACAGCACCGCCTCTCTGCTGATCCATGCCCGGGCCAGCCTCGAGGCCCGCGACAAGCACGACAGAACGCCCCTAGTGGCAGCGTGCATCGCAGACAGCCACAACGTTGCGATCCTGCTACTTCGAGCTGGCGCTGATGTGCAACACCTCCTACAACATGAAAGCACAATTGCGTCCGTGATAACAAATGCGACGTGTGCAGCGGCCGCTGCAACCCACCAAGACGCCCTGACGGCCCTGTTCGAAGCAGGCGCCAGCATGGACGCCTCGCTATGGCACGCCGCATATGGAGGATACACAGAGGCCATCGAGATCCTTCTGCTCTACCAGGCCGACCCGAACACCGACCACGCCGAAGAAGAAAAACGAAATGCCCTATGGGCAGCGGCAACCAGAGGGCACACCGCAGCAGTCGCACGCCTGCTGGCGGCCCGAGCCGACCCCAACTCCCTGGACGAATCATCTGAGCTCTACCTCGAGAAATATCCCGATATCGTGCAGCTCCTACAGCAAGCAAATTCCGACACAGGAAACGAGCTACTGCCCCGAATGCGCCGTCGCGACGCGACGCATTCCTCCAGACCCGGACGACCAAACAAAACCCTCCTGGCGGGCAACACGAGCCGACGACGAGTGATCAGCAAAAAAACGACCTGGCCGCTAGACCGTTTCGCAAAGCACGCACGACGGGATGTACAATCGCGACGTGCAAGCCGCCCTCGCGAGAAGCAGCAATCGGATCCAACGACGGTGCCCCGCCGGCCAGCACGAAAGCAGGCGCAGCAAGAGCAGATCAACCATCTGCCAGAAGTTTCACCGTGAAACATCTCCAGAAGGACGGGTGATAAGAAAAAAGAGTGCCGCATGCATCCTCGACGATTCGCCCCAGCAGCCAAATCCCTGGATATGACAATGTCCGCAGCCATCCTCCCTCGAGAAAGCCATGCCCGATAAGAAAACGAACAGTCAAAAGCCGCCAAAGGCAACGGCGTTATGGCGTCCGAGGCAAAACCGAACGCAAGCAAGCCCAACCAAGCCGCAAGGCCACGTCCACTCAAGACGAGACAATCCCACAGTGCTGACAACGCCACAGCATGCAATCGCCAATCAGAAAACCAAAGGAATCCACATCAGCCCAACAGTCGAAACGCGGAAGCCATGGATAAAAACGTACCTGCCACAAAGGCCGCCCGCCGACCCAGGCCAGGCCTCTTCGCCCGACGAACCCGGCGGAAAGCCTCCGCCAAGCAGAAGCCGCGAATCTACAGGTTCAACGGAGAGGTCCTGCCGCAGACGTCAACCCGTCGACATCCCACGCCAAAGGACCTGCTGCGACGCTTGGAGCACACCTGCGGCGTTTCAATGTACAGGATCAGGCTGATACAAGACGGTCAGATGCTTCGCGCGAGCGGCAAGCGACCCTTCGCCTCGGCAAAGAGCATTCAGATGCTCCTCCTACCGTACGTGCAAGACAATAGCAGCAGAGACGTGCTCCAAAGTCTAGAAACAGCAATCCGAACGCAAAACACGGCGGCATTGAGAGAACTGCTGTGGCGACCCGTGGACCCAAACACAGCCTTCCCTCGCTACCTGCCGCGTCCAATCACAGCACTAGAACTGGCGCTGCTGAGCGCAGGACCGCGCACGGAAACGCTCCTTTCCACACTGCTAAAGGCGAAGGCAAGGCCTAATGACCCGAGAAACCAAGGCATGCTCTGCCTAGCCGTGCAACAGAACGACAGCAAGACGCTGCAACTGCTCCTGCGGCACCGAGCGGACCCGAACAGCTCCACCAACCGAATAACCCCCTTGGACATAGCGTGCCAACTGCCGCATCAGGAGCAGGAACCTAAAGCAGCACTAATGCTGCTAGCAGCGCGAGCAGAGATACAGGGCATGCTCCAAGACGAAAACAGCTGGACGTTGGAGCCAAGGCGGAAAGACTATCTGGACTACGCGCACCCTCGTTCGCTCGCAAGCACAGTATGCTTGGTGCGTGCTGCAGCAGGACTGCCAATCTCGGAGGGTGATCTGCTGCAGGTGCGTGTGGTCTGGCAGTCCTGCTGCAGCACGCACCAAGCATACTGTGCTTGCGAGCGACCGAGGGGGCGCGTAGTCCAGATAGTCTTTCCGCCTTGGCTCCAACGTCCAGCTGTTTTCGTCTTGGAGCATGCCCTGTATCTCTGCTCGCGCTGCTAGCAGCATTAGTGCTGCTTTAGGTTCCTGCTCCTGATGCGGCAGTTGGGACGCTATGTCCAAGGGGGTTATTCGGTTGGTGGAGCTGTTCGGGTCCGCTCGGTGCCGCAGGAGCAGTTGCAGCGTCTTGCTGTCGTTCTGTTGCACGGCTAGGCAGAGCATGCCTTGGTTTCTCGGGTCATTAGGCCTTGCCTTCGCCTTTAGCAGTGTGGAAAGGATCGTTTCCGTGCGCGGTCCTGCGCTCAGCAGCGCCAGTTCTAGTGCTGTGATTGGACGCGGCAGGTAGCGAGGGAAGGCTGTGTTTGGGTCCACGGGTCGCCACAGCAGTTCTCTCAATGCCGCCGTGTTTTGCGTTCGGTTTGCTGTTTCGAGACTTTGGAGCACGTCTCTGCTGCTATTGTCTTGCACGTACGGTAGGAGGAGCATCTGAATGCTCTTTGCCGAGGCGAAGGGTCGCTTGCCGCTCGCTCGAAGCATCTGACCGTCTTGTATCAGCCTGATCCTGTACATTGAAACGCCGCAGGTGTGCTCCAAGCGTCGCAGCAGGTCCTTTGGCGTGGGATGTCGACGGGTTGACGTCTGCGGCAGGACTTCTCCGTTGAACCTGTAGATTCGCGGCTTCTGCTTGGCGGAGGCTTTCCGCCGGGTTCGTCGGGCGCAGAGGCCTGGCCTGGGTCGGCGGGCGGCCTTTGTGGCAGGTACGTTTTTATCCATGGCTTCCGCGTTTCGACTGTTGGTCTGATGTGGATTCCTTTGGTTTTCTGATTGGCGATTGCATGCTGTGGCGTTGTCAGCACTGTGGGATTGTCTCGTCTTGAGTGGACGTGGCCTTGCGGCTTTGTTGGGCTTGCTTGCGTTCGGTTTTGCCTCGGACGCCATAACGCCGTTGCCTTTGGCGGCTTTTGACTGTTCGCTTTCTTATCGGGCATGGCTTTCTCGAGGGAGGATGGCTGCGGACATTGTCATATCCAGGGATTTGGCTGCTGGGGCGAATCGTCGAGGATGCATGCGGCACTCTTTTTTCTTATCACCCGTCCTTCTGGAGATGTTTCACGGTGAAACTTCTGGCAGATGGGTGATCTGCTCTTGCTGCGCCTGCTTTCGTGCTGGCCGGCGGGGCACCGTCGTTGGATCCGATTGCTGCTTCTCGCGAGGGCGGCTTGCACGTCGCGATTGTACATCCCGTCGTGCGTGCTTTGCGAAACGGTCTAGCGGCCAGGTCGTTTTTTTGCTGATCACTCGTCGTCGGCTCGTGTTGCTCGCCAGGAGGGTTTTGTTTGGTCGTCCGGGTCTGCGACGGCGCATTCGGGGCAGTAGCTCGTTTCCTGTGTCGGAATTTGCTTGCTGTAGGAGCTGCACGATATCGGGATATTTCTCGAGGTACCTACAACATCTTGCGGCACAATATTCTGCCGCCAAGCCTTGTGTTCGTTTTTTTCGCCGAAAGCAACAAAGAACGCCGCAAGCTATAAATTACGCCGAAACGGCTTCTTTTACAAATCATCCCCTGGATGGTATTGAGGAACATAGTGATGTTGTTGCACATCCGAGGCCATGAGAGGTCTCCAAAAGCTATACCCTATAACCCTAAACCCTATAAACCCTTATAAACCCTAAAACCTCAATCCCTAAACCCTAACTGTGTACAACCCTAAGCACAGACCTCCTTCTTTCCACACATGTGATCCTCTTCCTGATTGTCGATGTGGGCCGGGCCATGTCGGAGACTAAGCTTGTCACACAGCTGGTGCTGCTTTGGAGCTTGGGATAAGACAATATACTTTGAGGTTGCATCTGCATGACCAAGAACAGGACACAGTATACATCATCCCATAGAACAGCTGAGCTACCGTATGAAGCAAAACCCCGTAACCCGTATTATGGGATTTCCCATGCACAACTTGGCCCGGCATGCAAGATTGAAGTTCGAATTGAGCACTGCCTGCACTGCATTCGTGGTGTTGCACGATGCTTATATGGCTCTTTGCTTCAGTTGAATCTTAGGGGTATCCAGGGGGTTGTTTTCCAGGTTCTTAGAAACTTCGGGCTCAGTAATTGGTGTAGATCGAGGTGCAAGTGTGATGACACTGCAGGCACGACCAGGACAATTGTAGTGATGATGACAAGGGGGTCGTTGACTAGACTAATGATATACACATGCTCGCATGTAGGAAACACAGTTGCAGCGCTCTACTTGCCACGACGAAGCTTCTGGTAGAGCTTCTTGTGCTTCAAACGCAATCGCTGAATGACCCTGATGTCGCAGTGCTTTACATTAACGCGTCTACTAAGACGTGAAACTCGACCTATAAAGTCCTCGTTCACATCACACGCGTAGCACTGTGGAGACAAAATCATTGTCAGTCCGGCTTGCAGTTGGGATCGCAACTCATGTGCCACGTGATGGAGGGCATGAAGTTTAGGTTTCATGACGAAGCAGCGAATATTCATCTGAATAGAGCGCCTTCCCAGCTGCTTGAATCCCCGCAAGAAACGCATGCCGCTGTAGTAGAGCCGTCTTGCACAGTCTCTTTCGAGAAAGAGCTTGTGGCTGTTCATGATGTGAAACATTTCCCGAACGGCCGAGCAGCACTGAAGCATAATGCCGAGGATACCTTCCAAACCTGGAACCCATGGAGTCTTTAGTTGCAGCGAGACAAACCACTCAAGCCATTTCACAAGAATCATACTGTCCGAAGCCTTGGAATTAGTCCAAGGGGAGCTGAGGAAGTTCTTCAAATGCAGAAACTTGGTGGTGAAAGCTCTCAGTGCAGGGTGCAACTTGTTTACAGCACAGAAGAGCACAAAGTTACTGTGTGCTCTTTCCAAACGATCGTCGATGTTTCTTGTTGAGTTTGGAAAATCAAAAAAGGCTGTGCGAGCTAGAAACACAATACAGCCGCCAATGAGATCCCGAGCCAAGCCCAGCTTGACAACGTGAAAAACATCTGCCTTTAGGCTCCTCTCGGGCGCTTGTGCATCGTAGGGTATGCTAGCGAGGGCGGGCTCAGGGTTACCCCAGGGGCGACTGCTATACAGTGTCGATTCCCAGTCAGGTCGTTCACGAAGATCTTCGAATGGCCATCGGCTGGCAGTACCCGTGGAGGCCATGCACTGATGGCAGATCATTCCTTCGCCTGCTCTCTTCTGTACATTACTGTAGGAGCGGAGTAAGCCGAAATACTTCATGTGAAACTCCATATCTCCTTTGGTTCCGATGACTGCTCCATAGAAAACTTGATTTCCTACTCGCACTCCTTCCTCTAGCAGCAGCCGGAAATCCTCTGCCATTCGCTTGTAGAGCAGTGCCGTGACATGTGGATTTTTCTTGAAAACCCATCCCCCTAATCCGAAGAGAAGAAATCTGGATAGGTAAGAGTGCCCTTTAAAGTTTGTCGTCATGCCACGGCAGATCTTCAAAGACTTTGCAGAAAGTAGCATGTCGTTCGGCACACCGTAGGTCGGGAGGTCTGGGCGTGCAGCCAGCACAGCAGAGCAATCACAAGCAGGTCTTTTGTGTTCTAGAAGCCCGATAGGACTCTCCATTGATACAACGAGGTAGGCGGTCTTTTTGATGGACCGGCCTTCGTCCCCATGAATCACCAGCGGAACCACTTGTGATAAGTTATTGGCGTGCCGGCTAAACACGACATGGGAGGGATGACTACCCTTGTAGGCATCCCAAAATGCCTCGAAGGTTTCACCCACCTTATCCCTTGTGCCAGCCAGCAAGTCTGGGCTACTAGAAAGCAAGTGTTGCAACCAGGATTGGGGTCGAATGTGGTGCGTTGTAATCGTTTGGTTGATTCCTTGAACAACTTCATGCTCTATGCTTTCAACATCCACTGGCATGGAGTGACCTTCTCGCTCGAACAAGCGCTCACAAAACCTCTGGGCATTGCTCACTTCGGAAGCACTTGCCTCACGGCCCTCAGAGGCTGCGAGAGTGCGAACAATGCGAGCTGCTTCGACCTGGGAGCCGAGGAAGGGTTTAGAGGGTGGGTTCACATAAGTCTAAGCTTGGCTTAATAAGTTTTGATGATTATATCGGGGTGTTACCAAAACCTCCAAAGACTTGTTTCGTTTTGCGTTTATCAACCTTCAGAGGTTTCTGGTGTTTGTGCGGGTCAAAAGCATGAAGCACATGAAGCTTTGTAATTGTTTGGGGGCAAGATGTTTTCTCGTGGGCAAACAAGCAGCTCGGAGACATTGCCATGGTGATGATGATATAATATTAAGAATGATGATGATGATGATGAAAATGAAGTTGGGGCTGGGGTGACAGTGATGATAACAAAAGAGCCCTGCCACCCCGTACATGGTAGGCATGCTTGGACATACATACACACAAAACAAGTACAACAAAGTACGAAGATTCTCAATACAAGGTTCATATATATATATATATATTCATGTACCAGGTACAGTAGATGTGCATGCGTGGGTATATACATGACTCTTGTATAGTGTGTGCTGGCTACTATGTTAGCATCACAGTACATATACATGAAGTTCCCTGCACCACCACCGTCATCTTCACCATCATCACCCACACATCAGAGCAGCAAGAACAGTTTCAGTATAGCTATAGTATAATTACTATATAGCAGCTTAGTACCAGCAGCACTGGTAACCAATACCGACACTGCTCTTATCATCACCAGGTAGCTCACCGTATGTATATATCACCAGGGACATGCATCATTATCGTCACCTTCATCACCTGTTCAGGGTCACAAGGCCGCGACACCATCGCCCATGCTCTCAGCAAGGTAGCCGATGAGCTTGTTTTCAGAAGTACCTGTGCACATTAACCGATCTTCAAGCTGCAACTCATCATAGTCATGATGATCCAGGCACAGAAGACTCACAGACTGATTGAAACATGCCCAGATTTTTGCAAGCTCCCCTGCTGACTTGGATCATAGAGCATGGTAGCCCACACCCATTGAATTGACAACGGATATCGTATCCAGGCTTCTTGAAGAAACCCAAAAAGAGGCTTCACTCCTCCCTCGCACGCTTCCCCGAAACTGCCTTTGGCAGGACTTTCGGTGCAGGCTTCACAGCACGCTTCGGCGCCGCTTTGTCAGGCTTCGCATTTTTTTTGGGGGATGGCTCTTTCGCGGACTCCTTCGGAGCAGCTTTCCTCTTAGGAGCAGTCTTAGGCTTCGGAGCAGCGGCAGGTGCCACGGACCTGCATCATGACTAGAGTACCACACAACCTAGAGTACAGCGAAGCTAGAGTAAACCAAGACAAGCGAGTTAAGTCCATGACTTGGCCCTCTCAAAGAAGCTCATGGACTGGATGACCCTGAGTGATCAGTGCATGTATTAGATAGCGCATATTCATAAGCAGGAGCATCGGCACAGGCTTGAGGTTGTTGCAGCTTCCGGGACTCATCGATCTTCTGCTCGGCCTGTTTCTGCATCCTGGGTTGGGTAGCAGAATGAGGTCAGCAAACAGGCAGTTTAGATCTAGTTTACAGCAAGGCTCGCCCGAGTAAAGCCATTCAGGAGTCCATTATCACTCAGGTCCGAGAGCTCGTCAGCCATCACATTTAGACTCAAGGTGAGGTTCTCCACTTTGCTCAGCATCCTAGGCAAGGTGTTTTCAGCACATCTTGTCTCATGGTGACTCTCAGGCGTGGCTCCCTCGGTGACGGTTCCACGGAATGAGGCTCGGGCGAAGATTGCAACTTGCTCAACTTGGATGAGGGCAACTGGGTGTAGCGGGGTAGGAGTTCATCCAACCTCTTCGAGTGTCTTTGCACGCATTTGACAGCCTGGGGCAGCATGGCTGTGGGGTTGACATCACGTTGTATCTCAGGGAACCCAGACTTCGCGAGGAAGTCCTGGTCACCTGTGATGAGAGCACCATCATCATCATCATCATCTCCTTGGTCGCCTTCTCCCATGCCCATGCCTAGGAAACTGGAATAGGTAGGTGCTTGGGATAAAGTGAAGTTGTTTTAGATTAGAGAAGGCTGCGATAAAGTGTAGTTACCTCAGTATGGAAAAATAGAATAACCTGTCATGCATTGCTAGTTGTAGATACAGAATGCAACATAGAACCAGACATGGAGTACATGTTGATTCTATATTGGAGCCTAAGGACTGCTCTTGTCGTCGAGAATGGACCAGCCAGCCGTATGATCTACAGGCTCCATTCTCGCGTCCTCCTCTTCATCCCACTCCATCATCTGTTCAAAGACACTCTTCTTCAGCTTCCTCAGTAGATGCAGATGAGTTCTAACTATACAAAACTAGACTATGACAGACACAACAAATACATAGTGTTGCTACCTAGGCACGACAATTTGCCATGGACGCGCGTATCCGTCCAATACATCATACCATCGCCGTACTTGCTCTCCCTGGCAGCTTTGCTGTTCTGGGCAGATGCAGTTATAAGTTTTGCAATGGCAGGGGTCACCGTTTCAGCTTCGGGTTTTTCTTGCAGTACCGCTTGATGCCGGCAATCTTTGTCCTAGGCACACATGCATGCAAGTTGTAGCAGAGCAGGGAGGTTAAGTCATGATTACACGTAGCCTCGAGACTCAGAGAAGTTGCGATCTCGCATGTCCACTTCTGTCAAGAACTCTCCATCCACCTCCATCAATTCAGACGTGACCTCTTGATAGAGGACCTTACATCTCTTGATGAATTTAGCCTCGGTGCACAAAGTTGTTTGACAGTGCAGCTAGAAGCTACAATCATGCAAAGATATGGTCAACATGATTTGCGAGACTAGCAGCTACGTCGTACGCAGATTTCTCAAAAAGATTGCGCACCCGGTCACGTCCTCCTCCTTCCTTGTCCTCGTAGGCCTTCCTAATCTCGTCGGGAATCAGATACGAGCCATTGCCCCTTGGCTTGGTCACCCTGCGGAGGCGGGCATCCAGGGCCTTCTCGCTGATCTCCAGAGGAGGCTCGCTGATCGGTTCCTCCATCTCCTGCCTGTCCTTGTCAGTTGGGAAGACTCCATCATCGGGTAGAGTGTCAGCATTGGCCAAGGCAGCCGATGCATCAGGGCTATCCAAGTCGTCCAAGGTTTCCAAGGAATTCCCTTTTGGTTCATCAGCATCAAGGTCGTCTGGCATGGTCTCCCCAGGAAGTTCGCTTGAGGGAAGTTCGGGTTCATGCTCCTCAGTCTCCATGTCCTCCTTCGAAGGACTCGGCTGCACGGCGACATCAGCATTGTCCTGAAGAGCGGGTGGCGCCTCTGTGTTCTCAGCCTCAGGAATTTCATCCTTGACAACCGAAGTTCGGGTCGATGTTGCCTGCTCATGAGTTTGGGAAAGATTCATGATCGAAGTGCTTGGTTGTGCCAAGCACTATCTGTTGTGACACACCACTCCCAGCCTGAATGGTTTCGAAAATAATCTTAAGATCATCATCGTCCATCTCGTCCAAGCAAGCATCTGAAAGTGGGCCCACAGAGTTCAGCAGCTCTTCCTTCAAAGCCTCGGCATCGAATCGTTGATTGACACCCAAGCTCTGCGTTGATGTTTGTTCTTTGTCTATCTGTCTATCTCTCTCTCTGTCCCTCTCTCCTCTCTCTCACTCACTATCAGTCTTTCATTCTCTCTCTCCATCCGTATCTTGGTCTTCTCTTTCCAATTAGATTTGCATTGCAGCAGCACAACCCACATTAGCCGTAGGCGTCCTAGTCATGTAATAGCAGATGATAGTAGTCCTTGTCGTTGTCGTTGTCGTCGTCGTAGTAGGTAGTATATACTAGTAGACTAGTATAGTACTATAGTACTCGCACTATTAGTACTATAGTAGTAGTAGTAGTAGTAGTAGTAGTAGTAGTAGTAGTAGTAGTAGTAGTAGTAGTAGTAGTAGTAGTAGTAGTAGTAGTAGTAGTAGTAGTAGTAGTAGTATATAGTAGTAGTAGTAGTAGTAGTAGTAGTAGTAGTAGTAGTAGTAGTAGTAGTAGTAGTAGTAGTAGTAGTAGTATAGTAGTAGTAGTAATATAGTAGTAGTAGTAGTAGTAGTAGTAGTAGTAGTAGTAGTAGTAGTAGTAGTAGTTGTTGTTGTTGTTGTTGTTGTTGTTGTTGTTGTTGTTGTTGTTGTTGTTTTTGTTGTTGTTGTTGTATAATAACAGCAATACTTCTAACGTAGCGGAGGTAATCCCAGAAGAAGTACTAGCAAACGTAGTTGGAGTTGGTATTGTGTTTGTTGTTGTTGTTGCTGCTGCTGTTGTTGTTGTTGCTGCTGCTGCTGCTGCTGTTGTTGTTGTTGTTGTTGTTGATTTTGCTACTGTTGCTGTAGCTGGTGTTGCACGTGTACTTGAGCTTGTTGGATTGTTATATGCTTGTGGTGTCACACTATACATACATGCAGTACTATATAGCGGTAGTTTCAAATGCTAGCAGCCCTGACAAGTCTGCTTGGAACTTCTAACATGGTCCTAGCTATGGAGGCTTGGATTTTGGCGCTCATAATGGGTCCCACAATGCAAAGCGAAACCAGGGCTTAGGATATTGCAGTGTCACCATCAGCTTGTTGTCGACTACACAGTTGCGCTGCAACTCCGGGTTTTAGGCCCAAGCAAGCCCAAGCCCTTTACATCACCGAGACCGAAAGCTTAGACCCCCCATCTTTGAGACAACCAACACGACACACAAAGCCCTAAACTTCAAAGAAACCCTTGATCCTTCGCAAACACCAGAAACATGCCAACAGCCTTCAAAGGTGAGTCTGCATGGATCGGCACCCAAATGCCGAAGGACTGGTGTGTTAGTTTGCTTCATGGATAAATACACATATGTCAGAACACACCGACACATGCATGCATATATACGTTCAATATATATATTTATATAAAACATACATACAAGCACAAGAGTGTACACACATATCTGTCTGTACGTGTGTGTGCATGTATCGTGTTATAAGGAGCTTATTGACTTTGAAACCTTTGGCTGGTATCTGCAAGTTGGGTGTTTTCACAGGGCTTCAGAAGCTTCTGTAATATGGCCTGGTGCCTGTACTAGGTGTAGCAGAGCTTCTGTTGGGTTGTGCAGGAAATGCAGAGGGAAAGAGAGAGAGAGAGAGAGAGAGAGAGAGAGAGAGAGAGAGAGAGAGCGAGAGAGACAGACAGAGAGAGAGAGAGAGAGAGAGAGAGAGAGAGAGAGAGAAGGTGTGAGGGTAGAGATATACTGACATGGCAGATACTAACACAGAGAGAGATAGGGTTCGTTCCGTGTGCTGTGGGGCCCTGTCACCCCTTCAGAAAGCCCCACAAAGTGAAGAGCATAAGCAACCAGCCCCGAGCATCATGAGCAGCAGCCGCGCTCCCGGGCCCCACAAATCAAATAGCGTAACATGAGCATCAGCCGGGCTCCCGGGCCCCACACATCGAAGAGTGTAAGCAACCAGCCCCCAGCAGAAACGAGCATCATGAGCATCAGCCGGACTCTAGGGGCATGTTCTATTAAGTGAGAAAGACAGCGACAGAGGAAGTTTAAGAGAGAAAGGGAAACAGACATAAGAGCATATGGAGCCAGGGAACCAAAGCCTCGGCTTGCATCTCTGCCACAGCCGGATCCAGCGACAATGTGGCACATCGAGCCATCTTGGCCCCACGGACCAATGTCGAGGAAGACCCGAGGTTGCTCAGGACGGACATGAACCCTTTCGTGTACTCTTCTGATGAGCACCAAAACCCTCCAGAATGCAGGTTTGAGAGGGTACGGCAGATTCCGCCGCAGTACGCGCGATTACGCCGCAGTTACGGGTAATTACGCCGCAATTTTGTGGCTGCAAAATGCACGAACAGCATGAAAATCACAACAGGCAGCCCCCCACTGCGTTAAGAAGCACCAACCTTTTCTCCTGGGCACTGTTCTGAAGGTGGCCCTTACAAAGGCCTGAATTGCAGGACATGACCCAGAGTGAGAGCAATCAATGCCTATAGAAGTTGTTGCTATTGGGCCTTACAGTGTTGGCGGTGCTGCAGGTCTGCCCTGGGTACCCAAATTACGGCACTTGCTTCAAAGTGCACACAAAACTGTCCTGGACAGGGCTGGGCTGCCTATCTACAAATGCAGGAACTGCTTGAGTTCCTCTGGAATTTGCAGGAACTGGCTAGACCTAGCATACTTGTAGACGGTATAAAGTTCAGCATCCAGACACTCATCCTCTGCTTCAGGAAGGCAAGCAATAAGCTGAATTGCTGGACCCTGGGCATCAGCTTCCTGCAACAGCAAGCAAGCCCTTCGACCAACCAGACCCCCTAGCCCAAGCCCCAGGCCTGAAAGACAGCCACAGAAGAGGAACAATCAACAATGCCAAATTGCGACCCGAGCCCCTAGTCACCCTAGCCCTAGACCCGGTCAGCCCCACCTTCGGTAGGACCGGGCGGCGGGAAATGAACTCCAGCCTCAGCTTCAGCAACTTGCCGGCGAAGGCAGCTGGATAAGTCCTCAGATTGTTTGGAGGTTCTGGGCTTGTGTAGTTGAAGGACACAAGAATGTAGCATAATTCTGTGCATCTTGGATGAACTCATAGCAAGGATCTGTGTAGAGGCCAGAGATGGTAGCCCATTCCAGCATTTTTTCCCGGATCGATGAACGTATCTTCTCACGACATTCAGCATGTTCTGGTGGTCTTTGCGGTTAAGTACTCCCAGGAAAAGTTTGCCGACCGTGGCCGCGGTGCTCCAACACACTGTCCTCTTGTAGTTCGTGTGGCCATATTGTTTCATCCAGAATGATTGCCGGTACACCTGCAACTGCGCTAGTAGCCGACCACATCTAGTCAACATGTACACATCTACACAAATTATTCGGCCATATGGTATAATATGGTGTGCTTGGCTATACACACGAAACTTCGAAGTAGGCAAGAATGTCACAATTAGTGTGCATGGGATGTGTACGAGTGCAAAGTATAACGTGCCCAAACTACCACCTGCCTACCTGTACCAGGTTAGGGAAAGGCCACATCCTACCCAACTTCCCGACCTACCTACATACCAACATACCTACCTACCTGCCTCTATTCACCTCCCTGCCGGCCTCCCTAGCCCTCTAGCTACCTACCTACCGACCTACTTTTTGGAAGGACATACATAGACCAGTGGAGGGCTTGAGAGTTTAGATTTTTTGACAAGGTTCAACCTGGCTACACACCTCCGGATCTACCTATCTGCTTACCTTTCTTTTAAAGTCTACATAACCTCAAACAAAGCAGTGTCTTTGAACTCGTCTAAAAGTCATCATGTTAATTTACATGATGATTTATAGATATATAAACCGAACAGGTCTAGTCCAGCGCTTGGAAGTTTAGGTTTTCTGGGCCTGGGGCTTCAGGGTTTTAGGGTTTCTATTCGGGCTTTCACAACTCACGTGTTTCCTGAACACATGCAAAGCAAGGCGCACAGATTCCACGATGCCTCAGTACCTGCCGTAGCCAGGTGAAGCGTGGGTGGAGGTGCAGCAGCGTGGAGGCCGGTTGTTCAATCACCGGAACGATCTCTAAAGCGACCATCAAAAGGAGTAACAGCATTGTCCTCACTCAAAACATAACACAGCACAACTAGCCTATCCTCTTTCGACTTAAGACCACACAATATATAGATGTCGTTTATGACTGTTTATGCTTCCTACGATGTTTTAGGATGTCTCGGTTACTAGCAGCCACAATACAATTGAGATCACGGACACAAATGTCGGTGCTTCTGTGGCCTGCTGCCTGAAGCATTCTAACCGGTCCTTGCCGCACATTTGTTGGCTTTGTAGACGGCCACACTGGTCGGAGACCCAAGCGGCGTGAGCTCTGTTCGTTTGGTTGACCCACGGCTAGCCGCAACCCAGGTACCACAAGGTACCCCCAGTACAGCAATAGCTGATCCGACTTTGGCTTGCATGATCTGATGACAATGTAACCTTAGCCCACATACCAAGTAAAAGTGGATCCAAAAACATTATACACACATAAGCATATTTGCAGATATAGCGGACATGGCATGTGTTATATATACATGTATATATATATGTATACATACAGCCCGGGAATGATTTCGGTGGCATATAGGATACAGAGACACATGACACATAGGAATACATAGGATGAAGTAAGGGTGGCTGGGGTTAGGTAACATCATGTAGAAGCTACATAATCCTGTACAAAGATCTGCAATGCGTTCTAGACACAGAAACCCAGCATCGGTGTTGATGTCCATGCAATTCGTCAAATCAATGTTGTCACCATCGCAGTAGCTCTTGTCTAGGGCCGTGCTCGAAAGGCCTATGAACTTGGCAAGTCTTGCAATTCTGGCACTCCCGGCAAAGAACTCCAGGACTTCATACGGCTGTTCTGTCGTCGGGTCAAGGTCCAGGTGCCCCAAGAGACAGATGATCAGAATGAAGACCTGGGATCATTCAGGAGCTGAGGTTTCCTGATCTGAAGTACATTCTAGAATCAGCTATCCAGTCTAGCATCCCGTGGGGCTTTGAGCCAAGCCAATCTCCTCACCACAAACTCATACTTGGGAGGCATGGCCGCGAAAGCCGAAGAGTCCATCATGGGGCAGGTGAGCAGAGAATCGCTGGCAGGGGCTCGAGTGGTTGGCATGTGTTCTATACACTAGATTTGCAAAATCGAAGACATCAAGTTCTGAGACTGTTTTGGAAATCTCATGTTGCTCTTGAGCTGACAGCCATGTATGCCAACTCAACTGCAACAACTGCCTCGACTGACGAATTGCACATGAACAAAGCAGCTGCTTGCACAGAACAACAAAGGGGCACTTGTCTTGCCTGCCTAAGCAAATCAGGACAAGTAGTCTCCTGGAGCATGAAAGGGCAGGAGACTGGCCTCATCACCAGCAAAACCATAACGACACTGTTGGGCAAGTCCAGCCACAGGTCTGCGTGACATCACCTGGCGCACATGTCTGGTTTATTTACCACACAATTGGTGCTAGCACAGTCCAAGGAGTTCAGGCTGTGGCAGCAGAGAGCACATTTTGACTTCGTCAGCTCGCCTAGAACAGCTGTGCCCGGCTGTGCCAGGTTGCAGGAACAACCCAGGAGGTGGATCGACTGGAGTGGGCAGCCAAACAGGACAGGTGGAGCTGCGGGTGTACATGTGTGTGCATGTTTGCATGCATACCAATATATAGCGTACTGGCAAGGGCCTGAACACTCACATATATGTGCCTGCATGTATACATGTATGTGCGCGTATGCACTTACCAAAGTCCTAGAGGTCTCACACCGGCTCGTCTGGACTCCCACAGAACCCCTAGACTGCAATGAGTCTCCCGAATTGCAAGTGCAAAGTCACATGTGACAGCTTCGTCGATCAGCGCAGCTTGCCTCAGATGATTTGTACAATATGATTCCTGCAAAGGGTTTGGGTTATATATGGTGGCACGAGAGCCCCAGCATGGTATCCGTAAGAAAATATACATATATATATATATATATATATATTATATATGTGTGTGTGTTGCATGTACCGAATCCACCCGAGATGTTAAGCTCCCGGCTTTAACAGCTTCAAGGGTTTCGTGACACCACGTAAGCATGTCTACACAGCTACAAACTTTTATAACTATGCATAATTTGAGCCAGGCGACTCTGAACCACCTCGTGAGTGAGAAAAGTCTCAGCTGACTTCATATTGATCTTGTCCATCTTGAGCCCATCAACCCCCTTCAGGTTCTCGATGGCAAAGGTCCAAAAAGGTTTCTGCAATCGAGGGCAAGATGTAGACTGCATGACATGTATCACACACATGCATGGAGTAACACATGTGTGCAACATGTGATGCAACACAGGCCTCGAGGCTACTTGGTGCGTGGACTTTGGGCTTGATAATCATCACGAAGGCATCACGAATGCTACACCAGCGCTGGCGGGCCAAAGCATCGATCGGTGGCATGGGTCGGCTAGCGAAAGTCGTTCTCGGGGCAGGTTGGGAGGGATCCACCTCATCCGCATCCGGCGCACACTTGGGGGCAGGCTTTGCACGCTTCTTCAAAGGACTGTCAAACCGCTCTGGTTTAGGCGCCGTCGGTAGCTTGGCTTGATCCAGCAGCTGTCCTAAGTCTTGGCGGGGGCTGGGCTCGTCATCTTCATTGCAAGACACCTCCTGGGATCGCGTCTTGCTGGAGGCAGTGGATTTGGCCGAAGCTTTTGCCTTCCCCTTTGCCTTTGCTTTGGGTTGCTGCTCCTCCCTGGCTTTGGCCTTGGCTTTGGCCTTGGCTTTTGCCTTGGATTTGGCCTTCCCTTTTGGCTTCGGTTCGGGGGGGGCTGGCTCGGACTGGGATCCCGCAAGCATGTCATTATCAGGCTTGGAATCAGCTTCCACTTGATTGGTGGGGGCCTTTCCCGAAGCTTTGGGCTGAGCTGATTTTTTAGGCCTTCCGACAGGTCTTCCAGGGGGTCGCTTTGGCTTCCTTGCCGCCACCTCCAGTCCTTCCTCCTCATCAGGCGCGTTGCCCGCTAGATTGTCCCTGGCCTGCATCTGATCCTCACGTGTCATGGGGTCGTCCTCATCAAAGAAAACATCAGCCTGCTTGTCGGGCTGGGGAGCAGCATTTTCAGGAGCTGCGGTTGCTTGCTGCTTGGCCTCCTTGGGTTGCCTGGGCTTCTTTGGTGGTGTGGACTCTGGGTTCTCAGATGCCTCGCACTTGGGGGCCTCACACTCCTCGTGCTTTGGGGCCTCAACTGCCTTGCGCTTTGGAGCCTGGGTTGCCTTGCACTTTGGGGCCTCAGATGCCTCACTCTTCACAGCATCAGCAGTGGCTGGAGCGGCTGGAGTCGCCGCACTGTGGAAGCTGCTCATCAAATTCCTAGCGACCGGGGACAGGTTTGCAGGGCAGGTATCTTCCACACTGACATCAGCTGGGCGCCGACAGTAAAGGGGCCGTGCGCAAGCAGCAGTGGCTTGGCGCTTGCTGATTTCTGACCTAAGCACAATAAAAACATGTATGCATGCATAATATGTACGTCGTACGTATATATACAAGGTCAACAACATGGGTGTGCACTGACTACAACACTCATGCACCCACAGCAAGCCGAATCCGATTGGCAAGTGGCTGAAGCTGCCGCAGTCGAAGCAAACGCGGATCATCTTTGGGCACATGCTTCAAAGCATCACACTGGGGGATCAACGGGGCCGCACTGGCCCTTGAGCTGTCCTTGACAGGAGTGTCCTCAATGTCAATGCACAGGGGTTGGCTCTGATTCGGCTCACCTTTGACAGAACCTTTGTCAGACTCCGGGGACTTCACCTTTAGCTTGTTCGCTAAATCATCTGTCAGGCCGGATTTAAGGCAAGGTGATCCCACGACATTCGTAGGAACACCACATACACCTAACTCCACAGCCACACGAAGCTCTTCAGACATGTTGTCACCATAACCATCATCCAGCAAATCCTCAGGCAAGGCTGCAGGTGTGGTCTCGGAAGATTGAGTCTCCTCAGCTGCATCACCATCAGCCTCGGCCTCACACTCCTCGCCTTCATCTTCGTCCTCGGCAAGGGAAGACCGGCTCGTCCTCTTCTTGGGTGGCCAATAAGCACTGATAGCTTCGTAGATGGCCCGTAGTCTCGGATCCTGGAATCTATCGATAGAACGAAACGCTGAACACACACTTTATGAACACAACTGACTGTGTCATGTGATGTGTGCTAATGCAGTACGAAGTACACGTCTACGGCAGCCATCATGTCGTCGGATCAAAATGGTCATGAAAGCCCGGAGAACCGTTGCATCACAGTTCTGTCTGACGACATTCTCTTCCATGCCGAGGTGATCTCGTAGCTGGGAGACCTTAAAAGAACGATGGAATTGAAATGGCTTCTGACAACACAAAATAATATGCTGAACAATCACGTTTGCATGATAAGCCCCACACCTGCTGACGAGCATGCGGCACGTAAATGGTTTTAGCAGTTTCAACCTGTGGAACCCAGATATCCACCAGCTTCTGCAAAACAGCTGCATTTGTTGCCGCCGTTTTCAGGCTGCAGATCCCAACCGTTTTCACATCAGGCCAGGAGAACAAAGTCCCGCGCTTCAGGATGCATTCCCGGACAGCGGCATCATCCGCCCAAGCCTTCCAAAGCCCATCCAAGCTCACCCCTTCAGGGGCCTCCTCGTCAGAGTCAGGCTCTGGCTCCTCTTTCTTGGGTGCCATGATGATTGGCCCACCGACACAAACTAGGCTCGAAAGACAAATGTCTCCCGGTCAAGCAATGCAAGCCCCAAGCATCCAGTGTTCATGGAAAGACGAAGTTGCACTTCGACAAAACATGGCAGGGCTTCCCCAGTGAAAACGAAGATCCAGAAGGCCCCCAAAACGCGGGAGGCCACCATTGGCCTGCGCGGTGGCATGCTATATATATATATATATATATATGCACACAAACACACTCACAACATTGGCACATCAGAGAGTGTGATGTGAAGGCATGGGCTCCTCCTTGAAGTCAAGGATGGAAGATTCGAAGGTCTCGAGGCCCACCTGCCATTTGTTCTTATAATCAATATAATCCATGACACTGTCAAACAACATGACTTAAAGTAACAAGCTTCAAAAACCATGGCCTCGTTGACCAGAAAACCACAGACTCGGGAGAAACGATCAAGATGCTTGACCTGCGGGGTTATTTTCGAGGACTCAGATACATGTACACAAGGTTTTGTAGCATGCAAGGCAGTCGAGCTTTTGTACTGTGCACATGGTTTCTGCTGGCAGCTCCTGTTCTCTATCCCCTAGACTCATAGGAGAGGTCCAGCACCCACACTAACTAGAGAGAACATGTCGAACTCACTTCGAGCCAGGACCGTGTTCGGGACAACCTGAGCATCCGCTGCTTCGGGCTTTGACAGAAACCACATGAAACCACCCCAAACGTCCAGATATGTATGTCAAGATCAACTACTGGGTTTCTTGCGGTGGCCAGTGTACTTCTTGGCCAAGGTAGCTAGATGATGAACCAGTCCTCCTCCACGAAAGTTCTGCAACATGGTCCAAACGGCATCCTCCGGCAAGGCATCCTGTGCAGGCTGGTTTGCTTTATCCAAACAGTGTCGTCTCTTCATTTACCAAGATTGGACCTATCACATTTCGGAGCCCCTGTATATAATCTGAAGTAAATTGGAACCCTAAGATGTTTCATATTTTTTGATGGAATAAAACCTCCCATGCTAGCACAATGCACTTCTTGTACATAGGCGGTTCAAAGCCAATCGCAAGCTAGTCGGCCTCGGCCGCTGTTGAAAAGATCATCTCGTGGCACCGGTGCCAAAACTTGTCCGGCAAGGGTAGCAGGCCTGAATTCAGACTAATTTAAAGGATAGGCTGTTCTTTGTTCGGCTTGAAGCCCACACCTTCTCGTGCGAGTTCTTCC